TGTGTCTTCGGAAGTCGTCTTCGGGGGGGAATTCGTCTTCGGACAATATGTCTTTGGAATTCGTCTTTGGAATTCGTCTTCGGAATTCGTCTTCGTCTGCGGGTCAAAATTGCATACCCGCAGAGCGGCTACAATGTATACATATATATATATGATTATATATAGTACCTCCCGCACATCTGGCACCCATGTCTTAAACACACATGAAAAGATCTTTGGGGGGGTACCATTTTTTTAGCCCTTTTTTGGCATCCTCACGGTTTCAGTCAAGCTGCTGACCGCATTCAAAGCTGCGTCGCCTGGAACACCCCAGATTGAATCAATCAGCTCTGGAGAGTTCTGAGCGGCAAGGCTTTGAAGGCTTGTTCCTGTGAGCACTGAGAACTAAAACATTCCTAGGTAGCTACTAGTAGCGTCCTTGTTCCTAGTAGCGATGCCAGGAGCCCCTAGTAGCTTCTTGTTCCTAGCAGTAAGGCCAGGAGCCCCTAGTAGCGTCCCTGCTCCTGGTGATTCCACCGGTTTCCGATCAAAGCTACGACACCGAGATTTGGGGGCCTGCAAGCTGGGACTGCCGGGGCCGCCGTGCGTTCCGCGCTGGACTTTCGCTCAGTGCTGCCTTTCGGTGTACAGAGTCGGCAACCACTGGGTCTGTCTAAGTGACTTGCTATCTGACTTGCTGTCTTCTGGTCAACGGTTGACATGATGTGGCGAGAAACGCGATCAAGGCCCCAATAGAGCCAACTAGGCTGCAATGATTCGACGCATCAACAAACTGCAACTACTACTAGTAAGGCACTTGTTACTAGTAGCGATGCACTTGTTTCTAATAGCTTCTTGTTACTACTAGTAAGGCACTTGTTACTAGTAGCAAACAGCTCGACCGGAGCCCCTCCGTTTTGTTGATGCCTCCGCGGTGATCCCACGGCCAGTCGTGCTCATGCCTGCCGCAGCACACTCCGTATTCTCTTTAACCATCTTTAAACCATACTGATCCCTGTTGTCAATGTGTCAGGCTACCTCGACTAATCTGAAGGTCAGTCCTCTTTTCCTTCCTAAATCCACACTTTCTTCTGCCCTGTGTCAAAGGATGTGAAACCCCAAACAGAATGAACCTGCGACTTGCTGATGAACCGTCCAAACCATAATGTGTGTAAAAAAAATATAGATACAGTACACATATACATATTATAGGTGCATCATTGTATATCGTTGTATCATAATGAATCCTTGTATGATCTGATAATGGCTGGTGCGTTTGCCACACTACCGCGCACTCTTGCCTAAACGCGAAGCATCACTTCCTGCAGAAACGATTATGTCTAAAGCCTTGCATGCTCAAAGTAATGTGGACGGACAAATGACTTGAGAGAGGAGGGGGTGAACGAAAGGTAGCAGGCAATCACAAGTAACCCTGGTAGAAGTCCATGACGGCGTGAACCGGCGCAGGGGGGATTTGATCCAGGGAGGGGGGGAGGGCCCGTGGTGGGGAACTTTTAGACCAATGTGCCGCCAGGGCTCCTTAGCATACTTTTCATGCAAAACCATAAGACTCCCACAAACGACCAGCAAAGCAAATCGACCTAACAAAAAAGTAATTTGCACGAAACCATGACACACACAAAGCAAAACAATGCTTCATATTTTTTTTAACCATGCATCATCAAAAAGTACATACAGACGCAAACTTGTGATTTTTTACCTTGAAATGTTAAAGTAAAAAACCACAAGTTTTGTAAAAGAACCTCGATAAAAAGGACAACATAGAACCAGACTCATCCTTACCAGAGCTCTCCCTGAAGGAAAAGAACATAGAAATCCTTTCTGCTAAATGGATACCGCTTCGTTTGATGTCTGTTTTTAAGCTGGTGACCTGGATTACCTGAACTTTGGATTACCTGAAAGCTCACAATATGTTACAAACAGGCGATTTGTAAACTATCTTAGTAGCACCACAAACGTATTTAATGCGAATGAGGGGGCGGAAAACATTAGGTTTTGCATTTCAGGAGAGGATAATACCTATTTGGATTTGAGTTCAGTAAGGTTGTTTGCAACTTTACAAAATAACGATCGAACAAGACACCATTTCTTACGTCCATTAGGAGGCTTACATGCCTTTATTCAACGATACAGAGCAATAGTAGGAGGTCAAATGGACCGAAATATTGTTGAATACAATAGACACTGTGAGTTGTATGTTAGAGACATGGATGACATAGAGATGTCAGCTAACCCAAGATGGGACGCTGACTTTCATGACTATGCTACAGTAATGGTTTGGATGTATTATTGCAGGCTACTACTGCTGGTGTTACTCCAACCCCCGGTGTAGTAACTGTATCCCCTGACGGTGATAAAAATGAATGGGGTAGAATAGATAAAAGATACAGTATACAAGACACTCATTGACAGGAATTCCCGGCGCTAATGGTAAAGCCCGATTCAGCCATAAGCCTGTTTGTGGGTTGATGCAATCAAACTATTATTTACCTTTGAGGTATGCGCCTTTGGAATTAGAATTCACAATTGTTAATGATGAATTGGTACCTATTGTAGAACCACAAGGAGGCGCAGTAGGAAACCCGAACACTCAAACTGACAAACAGGGATATTACTTTCAAGCAGCTAACACTTCTACACAGTGGGAATTAAACAATGTTATTATCAGAGCTGAAGTAATGACTTTAGACAACACTGTTAATAACAACATAGTAAAACATTTGTTGGATGGTCAGTCACTAAAACTGGTCTTTCCTATGTATCACACACTGACACAAACCTTCAACACAGGAGGCGGTGAATTGGATATGAACATTGTTAAGTCATCATTCAAACTCACAGGAGCATTCATTACTTTATACAGAACACCAGGAAATGGAACTATCAATGCTAACTATTTGCCAGACAACTATGTTCATAAGCGATGGGACAATGGAGCAGTAGCAAATCCTCAAGACCAAGGCAAAGGTTTCCAAGACTATGGTAGAAACTTATAATGGCAAATCCAGTTAGGCAACAAAAAGTATCCAGAGTTTGAGGCACAATCATTATCATGCAGAAAACTTCTACTATTTGCGAGGAGCCATACATTACATGAACCCGGACCAAGATGCATTGATTTTCAGTTACAGGCAATACAGAGAAAACACATTTATTATTGGTATGTCATTTGAAAAGATGGCTGACGTCAACTTTACTGGAGTTAACACAAAAATGGGTAGTTTAATGACTATGAAAATCCGCCCTACTGAAGGAACTCTAAACACTACACCCGGTGATAGCACTAACGCAATTTATGCTGAAGACATTCAAGAGGTTTTTACCCACCTTATTAGTGCAAGCGTGTTAGAAATTTGCGAACGCGGGTCTGTGGTATACGATTAAAATAATAAGTCTAAATTATTAATATATTTGTCTAAAACAAAATATATTAATAATGTTTAAGTATCATAAACACAACAACAAAACATGCACTAAAGCACATCTTCACAAATCATTAATAAATTTTAGTCCATTTGATATGAGAGATACAAGTTATCTGGAGCATTTACGCAAGGAACTTAAGTTAAGAAATGCAAGAGAGGGCATGGTAGCATTAAGAAAGGACATGATACAAGCAAATGCTAGGTCAAACTATCAAAATGAACTGGACAGGTTGAGAGGTGAAGTCCAAAGAGACAACCTACCGCACAACACAAAAGAACACAGCATTAAGCAACCTAAAGGCCTATTTTTTGCATAAATATATTAACATGTTTACCTCACATATTAATATATGGCAAGTATGGCATTGGAAATGATAAACCCTTATTCAAAATATGAATTGAAGAGGCGACCAACATATGATGAAATAGCAGGGTTGATAGGAGAAAATGAAACATTAACTGGAAGCCTTCCAGACAGAAGGGCTACATTTTTTAAAGCAAGTCCTGAAGGTAGCTTCTTTGATGGCATTTGAAGTATTGAAGGAACAAAAAAACAGAATACAAGGACAAAAGAGACAGATGAGAGAACTATTATTGAGACACAATTTAGGAGGTGGAACAGTTCATGTTGAAAGGATGAGGCAACAGAGTAGAGACACAACCCCAATAGAAGCAGAGACGCCAAGAGATGACAACGTTAATAATGCATCCATTCAAGCACAACTACAAGAAAGAGCCAGAATGGCACAGGAGAGAAAACAACAAGGACAAGCACACCAAAGTTTATTAAGTAGGAGCGCCACACCTGTTATTGATATGATATTTGGTGGATTGAGTAGAACAAGTAGCAGAGTAGGAACGCCAATGGCTCAACCGGTGCCACAATTAGCAATTGATTTAACACAAGACAACCCACAAGCAGAAGATGAAGTAGAAATGATGACAGCAAGAGAAGAACGCGAAGCCCCTGAACCCAAACAAGCAGTATTAAGAACCATTAGCTATAGATTAAATGTAGGAACTATGAGCGCAGAAGCATTGAAATTTCAATTGTTTT